GGAACGAAGTTGTGCACCACCAAAAAACCCATCTCTCTTGAGCAAGTTATTGAAATTCTCTTTAGCACAGGTACCTCATCTCTGCAGCAGGAGTAGTAAGAATTCGCTGCAAGATAGGACTGCAGGCAAAATTCCATGAGGTGGTCCAATGTTTATACTGTGCTTGTTACCTACAAAGGGCATTTAATTATTTGAGCTTCTGTTCTAAATGACTGAGTCAGTCTCACTTGCATGTATATCTCCTATCAATATAACTCTTATACTGAGACCAACATCAATAATGGAATGCTTCTCTGTATAAATATGTGTGTATTACCTCTTTGCTCTACAGCACTCCTATCTAATGAGGATCCCCATAGATCTTTCTTTTAGAGAGTGCCTGCTGGGTGAAGTCTTCCAAGAAAAATGTTCTGCACTACATTGATAAGAAGAGTAAACAAAACTATGCCACAATTAAAAGCAAACAGAAGACAAGTATGACTGTCTTTATTCATATGTGTGCTCTTATGTGTAGTGTACTGCATGAAAATCCCAGGTTCAATGGCCAAAATGTGTAGTTGATGAATTTTATTAAAATATTCAAATGTGATATAAACCAGTTCACCCTAGAAAAATAAAAAAGATGAGATACGTGTTTAGCATCCCCATGATAACCAAGGCCAATACTATCAAGACCTAAAGCTTGACTGTTACTTCAAAGCAGAACAATGTCACTGAGAATCAGTGTATGCTGCAGGAATATATGGGAGGGTCTTCCCTAAAAGAGGAATTTACGGCGTGTGAGAGGAAGGATGACTCACTGGAAATGAGGGCAAGCAAAAAAGATGCATATATTCTAGGCTCATAGAACGGAATGTGTGATTGCTTCATCAGAAAGTAAATTTGCACAGGAGACTTAAGAGACAAGTATGATTGAGAGCAGGGGGTGAGGGTCAAGTGGGAAATAAGGTCGAGGGTAACTTTTTAAATATTATTTATGACCATCTCACATTTAGTAAATTCATGTTTATTTCTACATGTGAGATCTGCTTCATCATGTATCTTTCCAGGGAATTATATTGGGCCTGTCACTGTGAGGGTACTGGACAAATCAAACTGCTGGAAGTATGATAAACGTCAGTACCAAAATGTTCACTATGATGCAAAATAGAAATCTTCTGACCCATTATATGTCCGAGTATAAGCGCACAAGTGACTAACAAAGTTAAATAGAATGTGTTAATATCTACTCTCAAAGAAAAGTACCAGATTTACAAGCAAAACCAACTCTGGGAATGAAGGACATAGATGTTTGTAAACATAATTCCTTGCACACCTTGGTCAATAAAGTGAAGTCAGAACCAAAGCCATAATATGTAAACTGCATTTGACAAAATTTAACCAACAATCCTCAGGGCATCAGGCAGGGCTGAGAATAATTGTAAATAAGGAAAACAAGGACAATTCCCTATCTCAATCATGAATAGTCATTTCAAACCACATGCAACAGGAGATGGTTACATTAAAAGGCTACTGTGTATTAAATTCATGAACACGCAAATGCTTTCTCCTCCAACTTCAATCACGCAATATTTTCCTGACCCTTTAAAGGGGTTGATAAAATGAGAAAAAATTTAGATTCAGCATGGAGCATCAGAAATAATGACATTATTGATAGGTGCTCTTAGAAACACTGAGAAGTGATAACTATAATCATGTAGAAAAGGAGTCTATCAGTACATCAACTTTCCAGTGATAGCAGAAATTGCCAAATAAATTTGGAAAAAAATGGCCAATACCTCATGCACAATAGATCTTTGGTGAGTAGGTAATAAATGAATAACTGAATGCAGAATTCTGAAAGGAGTCTATACTTTAAAGATAAGAGTTGGAGCCCTCCAGAAAATAACTCTTATTGGGGAAGTGCTTTAGATTCCAAAGAGTGAGGCGAAGAAATAGAACAAGAGCAGGAAAAGAACCAATGGTGTAATAGGCCTCCAAAGTACAAATATTTCACCTTCATAATCTAAAGAAATACAGGAATTTCCCAGTGTCATTATTTGAAAGGGGAATCTTGATACCCACCTTCTAACCGCACCTGCCCTCCCCAAGACACACAGACTCTGTCCAGCAGTTGTCACTGAAGCTTCCCCTTTGCCACCATCTTTGCACAGGAAGCCCACATGCATGGGTTTGCATGGAGACTGAGACCATGCGAGTACAGGTACTGTGGGACTTTCTTAAATTTTCTGCAGTCTCGAGGTTGGAATTCTCAGAGCTCCTCATTAAATAAATTGTTCAATT